GGGGGGGGGAGGGTTGGAATTTACAAGGAGGAAGGGGGTAATGGTTATGGGTGCTTGGAGGAGCTGAGGGGCATAACTCTTGGTCTCAACGTTATTTGGGTTTTTCCTTTAAACTCTTAATTTGAGTTAATGTTGACCTTCAAAAATAGTGATCATTACTTACATGAGAACAATGAAATCCAACTAATGTTTGAACAAAGAGTCGGATAATGAAAATCAGTGTGTTCAACACTGATTTGTATATTTCTCTCTCTCTCTCTCTCTCTCTCTATATATATATATATATATATATATATATATATATAGGGTGAGGTGTTTCCAGAAAATACAGAAAGCTAAAAAGCCTAAGCTACTATCACACAAAAATTCAATCAAAATAGTACGACAAAAGATTTAAATATTAAGAAGCTTTCTTAACAAGCTATTCTAACACTTCCCCTCAAGCTAGTGCATACAAATTGTATGCACCAAGCTTGGAACTTAAAAATTGAACTTAATGACTTAGTCATAACATTTGCAAGTTGTTCATTGGAATTGACAAATTCAACAATATTTCTTAGACGACAACTTCTCTCTCATAAAAAGATAGTCAACCTTTATGTGCTTGGTTCTTTTGTGAAATACTGAATTGGAAGCATTGTGAAGTGCAACTTGATTATCACAATACAATTTCATTGGATGAACTTTGTATAATTGTAACACTAGAAAAAGTTGCTTAATCCATACAAGTTCACAAGTAATCAAGGCCATAGCTCGATATTCAACTTTAGCATTGGATTGAGCAACAACATTTTATTTCTTGCTCTTCCAAGAAATGAGATTTCCATTAAGGAATACATCACATCCAATAGTAGAATGTCGATCTATAGGACAACATGCCCAATCATCATTGCAATATCCTAAAATTTGGCTATCTCCTTTGACCTCATATAGTAATCCTTGTCCTGCAGCCTTTTTAATATATCTAAGGATACACAAAACAAGATTTCAATGATCAATATGAGGAGCCTGTACGAATTGACTAACAACCCCTATTGCAAAAGACAGATCAAGTCTTGTGATTGTAAGATAAATAAGTTTCCTAACAAATGTACCATACCTCTCTAGATTTGTGAATGGTTCACCTTGATCGGACATTAACTTCTAGTTAGGATCCATAGGACTATCAACAGGCATGCAATCAACCATGTTTGTTTCCTCCAAGATGTCTAAAGCATACTTCTTTATCACATCACAATGCCTTCCTTTAATTGGGTGACCTCGATACCAAGAAAATGGCTATACAAATGTTTTTCAATCAAGAGATTGTAGCTGCATCGTTCCTTGTAATCACTATATCATCCACGTAAACAATCAGATAAGCACACCTAGGAGAATTATGACAATAGAAATTTGAGTGGTTTGCTTCATTTCTTTTACGCCCAAAGTCAAGCACAGAATGACTAAGTTTTCCAAACCAAGCCCGGGGAGATTGTTTGAGGCATAGTAGTCAATCTCGGATAGCGGCGCGGAGCGGCCGACCCTAAAACTGGGATAGCGGGATGACGCGGAGTGGGATAACCGCTATTTAAATATTAATTTATATATATTAAATAATTAATAATATATATATAAAAGCTAAAAAAACAAAAATAATTAATAATATATATATATAGAATCAGAAATTAAAAAAAATATGCTGCTGAAATAGAAATAGAATTTTCTGAAATTAAAAATAAAATTTTCTGAATTAAATTTAATCAGAAATTAAAAATAAAATTTGCTGAATTAAATTTAATCAGAAATTAAAAATAAAATTTTCTGAATTAAATTTAAT